TACAACATTTCTTGAGAGTAATGTATGAGTTACAACATTTCTTGAGAGTAATGTATGAGTTATAACATTTCTTGAGAGTACGGTACGAGTTACAACATTTCTTGAGAGTAATGTATGAGTTACAACATTTCTTGAGAGTACGGTACGAGTTACAACATTTCTTGAGAGTATGGTACGAGTTATAACATTTCTTGAAATTACGGTACGAGTTATAACATTTCTTGAGAGTACGGTACGAGTTTCAACATTTCTTGAGAGTACGGTACGAGTTACAACATTTCTTGAGAGTAATGTATGAGTTACAACATTTCTTGAGAGTACGGTACGAGTTACAACATTTCTTGAAATTACGGTACGAGTTACAACATTTCTTGAGAGTACTGTATGAGTTACAACATTTCTCGAGAGTTCGGTACGAGTTACAACATTTTGTAAGTCTCACAAATAATAGCATATTTCTTGTCTAACTCTGATGGTAATATATCAAGATTTGGGTCATGCCCTTTTAAAATACTTGGTGTGCTCAGTGTCCCCTTCTTTTCACTGTAGTTTTTTTTTATAGTATATTTCACAATGTGGTGAAATTTTTGAATACAGTTACTACATTCATGTTACTGCAATGATAATCTAGATGAAACTAACAAGTAAGTGAAAAAATGATGTTTTATTTGTAGCTATGGCTGATGGGAAAAAAAATAAGGCAGGCGTAAAAGGTTGTACTGACTGAGGTGATAATAAAAGCTTTTCTCAATCAATTGTATAATGTTTCTCCATTTCTTTTAATGCTAATTTTATCTGTTGCCATTAAGGTTTAAATTGTTTGATAATTTATTAGAAATTTGGTCACTGTAGAAATAAGCACTCCAAATGACTTATGATTGCAAGCATTGATTTCTGCATCAGGTATGAGATAAAGCCCGATCAGATCACTATACATCGTAAAATTTTTGCGTGCATACAAATAACACTATATTAGTAGCATGTTTTCATTATATGTACTCATATATAAAAGGAATTGCAGCATATCTAATTTTATTAGGTGAATAACTATTTAATTTTACATGGAAACTTTGTTACTTTGGGGTTGGTTACCAGGTTGGCAGCTCTTACTGAGTGATATAAAATGATTGGAATTGATCATGATTGTAGAATCCACCTGTACGTATACCATTGCATTTGACAACTCATAATTTTATGATTTCAAACACTATTTGATGAACTGTTCAAACACTGTTTGAACCCTTGCACTTTGGACAAAAATAGCAAATACATATTGACCAGTAGAGAAATTGTATTAGGCCTGGCATGCTTCTCACGTACGATGTACACAGAAGAGATAATATATTTATATATGTGTATTAGGCCTGGCATGCTTCTCACGTACGATGTACACAGAAGAGATAATATATTTATATATGTCTAGCCACAATTTTCTTTCAACAGTATACAATTATGTGGTGAACTTCTGTACCCATAGAAAAACTTTACAAACATGAAATTTAAAACTACCTGTTACACTATTGAGGAACCATTTTTCTTCCAAAAAAGGTGGGACGGGGTAGTCGTCAAATTTGGACTACACGGTCTTAAGTCGTCGAGCATCATGCCTTAAGAAATCTGTAGTAAGGTACATCTATATTAAATATGTTATGTTTAGAGTGGTCTTAAATCATTTTTAAAAGATAATTCTTTCATATTTCCGTTCCTTGTTAAACATTATTGTTGTTGTTTTTCAGTCACGAGCACTAACGGCACAGAAAGCAGAGCCAGAAACTGCGAGTTTCCTAGTGGGCACCCAATCATTGAAATTTGACAACCAGGTGGGTAAATCCAAAAACATTTTTTTGTGGCTCATCATAGTTTTATGACTTATGTTTTGAAAATGGTTTTATTACGGTATACAAAATTTTGGTTTTAGTTGAGTCATGAATTTGTGATATAATGGTATAATTATTTTGCTATTGGTATGTATTAGATGGAGAAGTGATGGCAAGGCACAGCCTAGGTTTACCATCTATAGTATGATGGCAAGGCACAGCCTAGGTTTACCATCTATAGTATGATGGCAAGGCACAGCCTAGGTTTACCATCTATAGTATGATG